TTTTAAAATCTTATACTTAAATTACTAACCCGGTATTGAGGATGTTACACATCGTCTTGCATATATCGCTCTAGCCATAAAATACCGAAACCACAAGCCTACTGCACCTCTATCTCTATCTATGGGAGGTAGAAACTATTTACTTCCTGTCGTCAAATGTTCCAAGCACATGCATACGAGAGGACCACAATCCCCTCTGGCTCCCTACGTTTGTTATGGTGCGGTCTCGTCTATGATCATTGTAACTTTGAACTTCTTTGGCTTCTTATTTCCAGAATTAGTCCAATAATCAATCGCATCCAAGTATTTAGCTAAATGAGCGCTCCATCCCTTACAAATAATATCTCTCAAATAAGACAATGGTATGCAATTCAACATGCTATCATAAACCATTGTCTTCATGGATGGGAGCTGAAGCTCGACGAGAAGCCAATGACGACGTTCCAAAACAGGGATAAACACCTGCAATCATAAATAATAATTCAATTGCGCACATCAAATTTTTATTTATGAACACCTTTAAAATATTCAAAAATAAATACTAACCTTATCGACCTCCCACCACGCAGGATAAAGTTTAGCTTTTCCATTACCCAACACATATGAAGTGTCTCTCTGATCCTTCAAGTGAGCTACATGAAAAGACATCGGCATAATAGTCCATCGCGTATTTTTTATTTTCTTCAATTTCCTTATGATCAAAAGACGTGACACCCATGCATCAATATGTTGTTTTATAAAAAAAATACATATATTAGTAATTTCATAAATTTAAAAAAATTAATCAAAATGCAATATAAGAAGAATATAAGACTTACCCCCCGTCGAAATAGTCATTGTCTTCAACCCCTAATAACACACCCCACCAAGATCGATCAAGAAACAAATGCATATCATCGTCGAGTTTACATATGTCAGCGTAACACCCCTGGCTCCGCTCATGTAGATAAAAATCAACTGCGGTCTTAGCCCTAAGGGTATTATCCAAAATTGTGTTTGGTAGTGTTCTCCTCTCTACTTCATATACCAGAATGGTATTGACCGGGTAACTCACACGAAAGCCAACTCTCATCCATCATGTCGGGCACGTGAGGGGGTTTATCAATATGTCAACATATTATGCCATGTGAATCGGGCTCTCGAACGGTGGGAGGGACCTCTTGAACGATGAAAAGGGCCTCTTGAACGATGGGAGGGGCCTCTTGAAGGATGAGAGGGGCCTCTTGAACGATAGGAGAGGCCTCTTGAACGATGACAGGTGAATCGGGCTTCTTCTTACGGTTGGCACTATTGGGGTGAATGGAGACGTAATGGCACGTGCACGACGTCTGATGCATAAACCCCGTCGTACAAGAAAAACCCGACGTAAAGCATCTACCTTATCGAGCCGCTAAAAATAAATTAAAACATAAATCAGTAAATAAACAAATAAATAATGCCAAAAAAAGGTTATTTGCATTTTTAGTATAGTATTAAACAAACTTACCTCATTCTACAACAATGCAACAATCTCACGTAGAGCAGCTACCTCATAACGTAAAGTAGACACCTCACCACGTAAAGCACCATTGTCATCACGTAAAACCTCTACCTCACCAAATAAAGACCGTACCTTATCATGCCATGCACCATTGTCTTCACGTAAAGTACCAACCTCCTTACGCAAAGCATTGACCTCATCACGTAACTCCCCTAACTCATCCCGTGGAGGTGGAGAACAAAGAGATAAATATCGTGGCATCTTTGACGGTCGCCTATCATGAGGTGATAGTGGAGAAGAGGCTCGATGATATGACGGAATAGGTGATGGCTCTCATTGTGGAGGTGTATAATCGGCTCGATCAGGTGATGGCTCTGGGTGGGGTGATGGCTCTCGAAGTGAGGGATGCTCATCATCCGTGCCATCAAAAAAATGCTTACTAGCTTTCTACCAATCAGTGGCAAGCTCAGCCTCTGTAATGGATAGTTGGCCTCCTAACAATATAAAAGCTCAAACAAAGTTAAACTTCTACTAGTAATAACTTGTTTATATATGGTAGTATTTGTGTTAACTTACATCATTCATCATCGTATATGGTAGTAACTCTTCCCAATCCAACAGCAGGATCCTCTTCTAGGAAATAACCCTAGGAATATCATTTGAATTTTTGATTGCATATGTCCGTATACTGGGACAAGCCTCAAATATCCAAATATACAAACAATATAATACATAAACATTAGTAATTGTTAAATAATTAATTATAATTTTGGAAACATTATATAGAAATTCTTACCTTAAAGGCCCAAATAAAGCCTACCAAAGTGTATTTGGAACCATGGCCACGCAAACTTTTTCGGTCCTCAAAGGCAGAAGATAACTTTTTCCAGGTAGTTTTCCATAGATATGAACCCCACGGAAACAGGTTCCATGCATTTAGGTCATCTACCAATAATATTAGGTCATCAAAAATAGGTTGTCTGGCCTCTTTGCCTAAAAAGCCGACATGCAAAAGTAATAAATGGCAAACTCGGACAACATCGAGGTCATCCATCCGAGTAAAACCATCTTTAACAAATAATCTTTTCAAGTCGTCGACGTGTAAACTCGGCTTCGCCTTTGCCAGCTCAGGAAAAACCCGAGATAACCATGATGGGCGGGCGATATGACTAGTGTACCGACCTACATCATCGTGTCCGAAGCGTAGACCAATGATTAAGAAAAACTCCTCCCGCCCAAAACAAGTATACGCAGGAGGAAAATGAAACCATATCTCTTCATCACCACGTTGTATCCTCTCGGGTAGATCGTTAGTCATGGCCTGAAGAAACAAATGTCAACATAGAATCTCCACCTGGATGTTGTACTTTCAGCCATAGCCCGAAGCAAGTATCCTCAAACAATTTTCTTTGTACAGGTGTAAGCGTCAACGCAATTGTAGTGGCTAGGCTTAATTTATTCCTTAAGGTCAATGAAGCCGAAAAAAACAATAAACATACAAAGTTAGATATACCAAAAACTACAAATTATACACTATAAACATACATGATATTAAACAGTGAAAACAAAGCCAAATATGTTTCAAACTTGCACGGTATTCACCCAAGTCATTATTCTATCATAGTTCACAAAATGCATCAGATAACATTCTAGAAGTAAGCACTTATATAAACATTTAAAAGGACAACATATAGGTTTAGTTCAGGTTCAAGGACAACATAAAGAGTAGTAGTTTATTCTTGAAACTTAAATTCGCAACACTATGAAGTTAGTATTTGTCTTTGTTTTTTGGTTGAAGTAATGCAATTCATTCAAGTTTCAATTTGCAGAAGAAGAATAGTTTCTGAAACTTAAAATCGCAACGCGAAATGAAAATCGCAACGCGAATTTGGAAAATCGTAATGCGAATTAGGAAAATCGCAATGCGATTTACATATTCGCATTGCGAATTTGAAAACTGAGTTGCGAAATTGGAGTTCGCGTTGCGAATTCGAGATCGCGTTGCGATTTTCATTTTCGTGTTGCAAATTTAAGTTTCAAATAGTCTTCAGCAAATTGAAACTTGAATGAATTGCATTACTTCAACCAAAAGACAAAACAAAGACAAATACTAACTTCACAAGGTTAAAGACTAAATAGTTTAGCAATATTGGCAGAATCCGAATGAATTTACTAAGCAATCTAAGTGAAATGGTTAATCTATTATTGAAATTACCAGTAAATTTATCATCAATTTAAATATGAAAAATCTAATAATAATACAAAAATTTCAAAATAAAAATAATTAAAAAAACTAACCATCGGTGGTTGATTTTCCATTTCTGACCGTGAATGGTTGTGAGGGTGGCTCTAAGAGATGGAGATAGACGAATTTCGCTGGAGATGGGGACGAATTTCGTTGGAGATGAGAACGGATGTCGCCGTAGAAAGTGAGAGATGAAGATGAGACTGAGTTGTGATTTAGAGCTTTAGGTTATGATTTGCGATTATACTGTTTACATTTGTGTTGTAAAATTAATATTGTGTTTCGAATTCGAAAATAAAATTCGCATTGCGAAAATAAACGCGCTTTGCGAATTTGACTTCTGTGTTACGAATTTGACTTATGTGTTGCGAATTACAAATTCACGTTGCGATTTACAGGTTCTCGTTGCGATTTACAGATTCGCGTTGCGATTTACAGATTCGCGTTGCGATTTACAGATTCGCGTTGCGATTTACAGATTCGCGTTGCGATTTACAGATTCGTGTTGCGATTTACATATTCGCGTTACGAATTTGGAAACTGAGTTGTGAAATTGGAATTCGTGTTGCGAATTTGTTGGTCGTTTTCGCAAATCTAAAAAAAGTTGATTAAAATAGTATATTATAAGATATTTTCAGTCACTGAAGTTATTTTTTCTAATCTAAACTAAAACTTATAAGCAAGGAAAATCCTCAAATTTTATCCCCATCCCCGCAACAGGCTTCTTTCAGTTCAGACACCTAATTTCTATTTCTGATGAAAATTAAAATGAATCAACAATTAAATTTTTTTCTCTCATTTCAAAATTTCTGATGCACATCCTCAAGAATAAATAGCAGTTTATATGAAAATCCAAAATCAATTTCTTTTTTCTTTGGCCATCCAAACTTTTAATGTATTATTAAACCGGAAATTTAACTAGTACAAGAGTCTTTCAAGGTAATTTTTCGTGCAATTCGTATCATGCCAATTGATTGAGAAAATGAAATGCAAGATATAAACTTCAGAATAAATTTTAAAATATGTCAGAATCGCTAAAGCTGAAATTTTTAACCAAATTCTACTATACATGCCTATCTTACGTAAGTAAATTGGTAACGCTTTCATATAGGCTCGAGTGAAAACATTTCACAGGCTTCCATATAGGCTCGATTGAAAACATTTCACAGGCAGCTAGTTATGCATGAAGATATTCAAGCAAAACCATGAAAAATTTCCAAACTTCCCTACCTTGCACTCAAAACAGCAAAAAGACAATCATGGAATCAGATTTACCTAGAAGATGTGGGATTGGAGGTTGACGCGAAAAACGAAACAGAGGCCCAATCGTGCTTAGATCGAATCTGATACTCCCTTAACAGCTCTGCTAAATTGGATCGCGCTATCATCTTTTCCCTTTTGATATCCCTGCCTTTCGGCTTAATGCCTTGTTTGGCTTTGGAATGCAAAGAACGGTTAAGGATTGCGATTTCACATAGCAAGATGCGAATTGGAGCTAGAAGGGAGGCAAAGGAAAGCATCAGTGCTTGTTGGGCCTTTGTTCGTTACGTAGCGTTCCTCAACCCTTCCTAATTTACTCTCTTTTTCTTCTTTTTTTCCCTTTTCTTCCCGTCCCGGCGGAAAGAAAAGAAAAAAAAGAAGGAATAATGTAATGATCAAACTCCTCGAGCCGGCGGATTTGGCGGGGTTTTCATCTAACCGGCGAAGTTGACAGGATCATTCATCGGCCTTGTATCTATATTTGGCTGGGCTATGTATATGATCTGTGCCATATGTGGCCCACGTGGATTACATTTGTTGGATAACGATAAGAATTAATATTTTTAAGAGAATAATAACTGTTTTTAAAATATATTTAAATTTAAATAATAAATAGAATATATACTAATATTTTCTCTTAAATTCTAATGAAAGGTTAAGCATAGTTTTTAAAATAATTTAGGATAATTATTTAAAGAAAAATTAATTTTAGATAAATAATATCTAATTATAATTTTTTAATTATTAAGATATATATATATATATATATATATATATATATATATGTGTGTGTGTAACAACTCAATTTTAAAATCTTAAAAAAAGAACGATACTATTGTTAGCTATATAGGATACTCAACGGTTTTTTAAATAATCAGTATATACGATTGTCTTTAATTGCGAAAATTAAAAATTTAAATTTAAAACTAAACCTGATTCAAATTACTTACCGCTGATTGGTTAGAATTTCTCTAAAAACATATAAAAATGTTAGATAACAAATAATAAATAAATATTAAATAAATCAAAGGAAAAAGAGAAAAAATAATATAAAAATAAAATAAATCAAAAGGAAAAAATATGAAAAAAAAATTAAAAACAAAATATGTCAAAAGAAAAAAATATTAAATAAATATGAAAAAATATTAATATAACAAAAAAATAAATGAATAAAAATAAGTAAAATTGAGTAGTAATAATAATAATAATAAAAGAATAAAAAATATATAAAAAATATATAAAAAAATAAAAAATAAAAAATGAAATAGAATAAAAAAATAATAAAAAGGGGGTTAAATTTTGAAAAAAAAGGAAAAAAATTAATTTACATTAGTGACCAAAATAAAACATGCATTAAATAATATGGCCAAATCAAAAGTAACGATATTTAATAAGGACTGATCAGGCAAATAAACTAGAACAACTAAAATTATGACAATTATGGGCTAAAATAAAATGAATGCAAAATAAAAGGGATAAAAATTATAATAACCCCTAAACTAGTGACTAAAACTAAAAGAGCGCTAAAGTTAAGGGGACTATTAAATGATTAACCCCTAATATAAATGAATAAAGTATGAAGTTTCCAGACCCAAGGACCTGACACGTGATTTGCCTCTTTATTTTGGTGACAATAACATAAAGTACATTATAAATAAAGGACCTAATGCATGATTTACCCATAAGTTAAAAAACCAAAAACCCACATTTATCATTTCCAATATCTCCATGAACCAAAACAAAATGAAACTTTCCCTTTCTCTTCCCACTAGCGGACCCAAAGGACCAAAGGCCGAACGACCACCACCTTGGTGGCTGCTCTATGCTTCAAAACTCCGACGAACGATGACCTCGTACTCGACGAAGAGACCTCGAAAGGCCAAGGTAAAAATGAAACTCTCATCTCTTATTTTTTTTAGATCGATTGTTGTGAAATATTTGCTTTCGAAAATGCTTGGAACATTTTCTTTCGATTTTTCATATATTTCGAATTTGTAATCGTGTCCTCTTGAGTTCAATTTACATAGGTATTTATAGGTAAAACATTCCCTATTTTTAGACTCTATTTTTTTAGTCATAATCGAACTAAACTACTCTTTTTTGTTGCTTGTTGGTTCGTGGGATGTTGTCGAGGAAACTGGCCGGCAAACTCAATCACTTGATTCGGCGTACGTGAGAGAGATGCGGTGTAGAGGAGAGTGGCTTGCTAGGGTTCTAAAAAAACCCTAGCCTTTCGGGTCGGTCTTCGGTTCGGGTCTAGACTGGTTCGCGAGTCCGGGTCACTTGTCGGGTCACAACTGGACCACTGTTGGGCTGTTACATATGCAGGCGTTCTGCTGGGTTACAACTTGAGTTTGGACTGCTGTGTAATGGGTTGTGGGTGTAATTGACTGTTAGACCTGTAAATAAAATAAAAACGTAGAATAAATATAACATATATACATATATATATTATACCATAATAATGAAAATAATAAAATAAATATATATGGTTGGTCGAAAATTAGTGTCCATAACTGCCCCTCTTTGTCCTTTTTCGTGGAACGAAAAATAGGACAAAGATAAAACGACATAAATTTTCGTTCGGTGGAGTTGAAAATTGACTCTGATATTTCAATTAAGAATAACTCCCTGTCGAATTGAGTTGCGGATGACTCGTACATCGCGAAGTCGAGTCCATCTTGAAATGAAATTGAAGCCGTAGTTCAGAATTTGAATCAGAATGTGGCTTCTCGTTTCCAAATTATAGTCCACTTCGATTTTCTTCTCGATTTAAAGACCTTAGTTTAAAAAAAATCGACTGGAAAATAGTTCCTTGACTCCACCATGTGGTTGATAAGCCCTCGAGCTGAACGAAATCGAGCTCAAAAATCTTCGTTGACAGATAACTTTTCTCGACTTAAGTTATGCTGTTGGAAAATGGTTTCTTGTCACCAAAGCACAGCTAACCCATGTCTTCTTCTCGACTTAAAAACCTCGGTTTAAACTTTAATCGGAAAGTAGTTGATGCGTCATCGAGCTGAATGGAATTGAACTCGAAAGTTTTCATTGACAGATAACCCTTCTCGTCTTGAGTTATGTTTTAATGAGCTGAGAGATTGCCCCATATCTTCTTCTTGACCTGAAGATCTCGACTTCAACCATAAAGTAGTTTCTTGATGCTACCATGTGGTCGATGTGTCATCGAGCTGAATGGAATCGAACTCGAAATTTCTTATTGGCAGATAGTTTTTCTCGACTTAAGCTATGCTACAAATTTGACATGCCCTTGAGTTGAGTGTAATCGAACTCGAAGATCTTGGTTGACAGATAACCCTTCTTACTTTGAGCTATGTTGTAAATTTTATATGCCTTTGAGCTGAGTGTAATCGAACTCGAAGGTCTTGGTTGACAGATAACCCTTCTTGCCTTGAACTATGCTATAAATTTGATGTGCCCTTGAGCTGAATGTAATCGAACTCGAATGCCTTTTGTTGACAGATAACCCTTCTCGCCTTGAGCTATGCTATAAATTTGATGTGCCTTTGAGCTGAGTGTAATCAAACCCGAAGGTCTTGGTTGACAGACATCCCTTCTCGCCTTGAGCTATACTGTAAATTTGATGTACCTTTGAGCCGAGTGTAATCGAACTCGAAGGTTTTTGTTGACAGATAACCCTTCTCGCCTTGAGTTATGATGTAAATGATATGCATTTGAGTTGAGTGTAATTGAACTCGAAGGTCTTTGTTGGCAGATAACCCTTCTCTCATTGAGTTATGCTGTAAATGATATGCCTTTGAGCTGAGTGTAATCAAACTCGAAGGTCTTTGTTGACATATAATCCTTCTCGCCTTGAGTTATGCTGTAAATGATATGCCTTTGAACTGAATGTAATCGAACTCGAAGGTCTTTGTTGACAGATAACCCTTCTCACTTTGAGCTATTCTGTACTAATTGGATGTTCCTTTGAGCTGAGTGTAATCGAACTTGAAGGTCTTTGTTGACAGATAACCCTTCTCTCCTTGAGTTATGCTGTAAATGATATGCCTTTGAGCTAAGTGTAATCGAACTTGAAGGTCTTTGTTGACAGATAACCCTTCTCGCCTTGAGTTATGCTGTAAATGATATGCCTTTGAGCTGAATGTAATCGAACTCGAAGGTCTTTGTTGACAGATAACCCTTCTCACCTTGAGCTATGCTGTAAATGATATGCCTTTGAGCTGAGTGTAATCGAACTCGAAGGTCTTTGTTGACAGATAACCCTTCTCGCCTTGAGTTATGCTATAAATGATATGCCTTTGAGCTGAGTGTAATCGAACTCGAAAGTCTTTGTTGATAGATAACCCTTCTCGCCTTGAGTTACGTTGTACTAATTGGATGTGCCTTTGAGCTGAGTGTAATCGAACTCGAAGGTCTTGGTTGACTGATAACCTTTCTCGCCTTGAGTTATTATGTACTGAATATGTTCTGAATTGTCTTTCGAACCTGTCCGCAGTTAATTCTAAGATCTGTCGATTGTTTCATAGGTCAAATTAGTTGGGGTGCAGCTCCTCGTTGCTTAGTTAAGCAACCACCATCAATTTTTAAAGTGCTTTTGAATAGAGTATCTTTCTTCTTGAAGTTGAAACTTGACTCTAAAAGCTGCAAAAAATTACGTATGCAAAAAAAATGATGAATTTGATGATCTTAAGTATGTCTAAGATGCATGCAACATGAATTAATTTTATCTCCTGGATGGCGTCTCGTGCTTTGTCTGCCAATCTGGTCTTGGGAATCGATCGTGCACCATTTTTTTCTCGGGTTTCAGCTTCAAGGACCTTTCATATTTGAAATTGTCTTGTTTGAAAATGTTTTTCTCCTTTCTCTTATTTTAGGAGGGAAAAAGGGTATAAAATTCTGTAAAACAATGCCTCTTAATTCAGGCTTGCAATCGAATCAAATCATAAATATGAATTCCAAGCATATCAAAGGAATCAATAGTTCTTTTAATGCTTTCAGAGTTATAGCTCTTTGACAAATATTCAAATGGATGAGTTGGCTTTAGGTTGGCCTCCTATTTATTAAGGTTTTTAGCCATAAAAATGTCATTTTTCTCGGTCATTACAACATCCCCCATTTTTTTGGCTTGGCATTTTATTGGACGCGGACAAAATGACGCAACTAGCATGATCAATTACTAGACCTTCTATTTTGGTCCTCTGAAATCTTCCATTTGTTCAAGATTCGTAGGCTCCTCTAACAAAGGCAGTGCAAAAATATTGGTCTAAAAATAAAATTCCTTAGTGCTCGTGTGAAATTGACTATAACAGGTGTTCATTAACTATAACAGGTGTTCATTAACTCCCTTAGTCTATTTTTACCGAAACTCCTTAATTAGATAAATTTAATTTTCCATT